TATTACTCAACGAACGAACTCCATTGAATTCATCCGACAACTAGGAAATGTCAAATCAAGCATTCCGTGGCTATAAAACGGTCAAAAGACCATTAAGGAACCGCTATCGAAATATCGTTTTAAGAAATATCGTGGTTCCGTCCGTCCTGGGGCAATTTGGCATCGGGTCACCTTCGGCAATCGCGTTTTCGGTATGAAGTTTTCACTGTACATCACTAGCTTCGATGCATAGGTATCGTATATCAAAATAAATAACAGTCGCAAAGTTTGATATCCCTAGCTAATACACTTATTTAGATGCACGGTTTTTTGTATTTTTACAGAGGTTTTTGTAATATTTCCATTCAATTTCGTAAGTATTTCGTGTTTAAAACTTTTCAATTGCAAATGCAGTGTTATTAAAAAATAGTTAATTACAATGGGCATTCTTAAAAAGTAATTAAAAATATAATGTTTTTAAAAGGTTGATAGAAAAAATAAACAAGTGAAAAAGCGTTAAGTTCGGCCGGGCCGAACTTTGGATATCCTCCACCATAGATATACTGACAGGTACTTGAAATGAAAATATAGAGAACATACCAAAAAATGGACCTATACCGACATTTCTACAGTCCGATTATGTAAACAATAATTTTAATAGAAAATTATATCCTCAGCCTTATGGCTAATTAGTGTGTATACACATTCACAGGGTGAAAATGTGCCTCATCGAAATATTGGTTCTATACTCCATGTTTCTTGGGACCAAATCCGTTTCAGAAAAATTTGATTTCATCCCATCTTATTATGTCTTCCAAACTTAGTTCAAGTCCGAATTTGGGGAATATCGGTCCATGCCTTTTGGTACCTCCCACACAGGGGCTACGGCTAAGCCTAAATGCGGGCTATAGTTCACATATAGTTCATTATCGAACCGTACGTTCTAGTTTTTTATCTCGGTATCCTTTGCAGGTGAAATGATTACAAATGCAAAATTTCAGCACCCTATCTAAATTCCTTCGGAAGATAGCGTGATTACAACAGACGGACGGACATGGCTAGATCGTCTTAGAATTTTACCCTGATCAAGAATATATATACTTTATAGGGTCGGAAATGAATATTTCGGTGAGTTACAAACGGAATGACCACCATACTATGGTGGAGGGTATAAAAAACTATAAAAAATACCTTTGGAGTAGATTCTGCATTTTGAAGTGGGTCACATTCTGCCATATACAGAAAGTGCAATATTATTTACCTGAAATGTTTTTGAGTTTGTCTTTAAAAATAGTCCTTTAATATGTTTCGAAATTACATATGGGCACTTTCGCAGTCACTTACACTACTTTCAGAGACAAAACCAAATTTTAAATCTTAAATAAATCGAAAACAATTACATTTTTTACAATTCTCCCGTAATACTTTCTTATATAACTTTAGGAGTACTATCAGTGGTAAAAAATTAAGATCCTCCAGTATTAAACTTTGAAGATAAAAACCACAAAAGAGCGGTCACTCACGCGACTTCAAATATACATGACTTTAGACATCACTGCTAATAATGGGAAAATTCTGCGTATTGTGTGAATATTTTGAACTTTTAATATTCTTTACATAAATAGGAGATATCAAGCATTATTATTGCACTTTCGAAATTTCAAAATTTGGCATATCCTTTATTTGCGAATGATTTTTCTCGGTCACTCACGCGACGTAACTCACGCGACATTTTTGATTTTGCTGTTTCTATTTCTGCAGTGTCTGCATTTATAGTCATTAAATTAGTATTTATGCTAAGAACAAGAAGAAAAAATGACAAATGCGGTCTTTCTTTGTATTTTTTGCCTTTACTTTACGTATTTAGGCACAATTAAAGTAACAAATTCTTCGACTTGGTTTACCTTCTTGCGGAAGTGCATATATATAAGACCAAACGTGCTTGTGTCGACGAAATTCGATTTCTGATGGTGTATGTGGCCTTGAAACGTCAACGTCTGCCGCCAAGCCTTAAAAGTCAAACATTGAGTTGCGTATTAAAGCAAAATAAAACCTTTAGATGATCTGAATTCCAACCAGACTGAGAGCAATGATAACTACCAGGCCATGACTATGGTGCCAAATGTGCCCCATCAAATGCAGAAGCTACCCTGGGTGGGGCACATTCGACTTTGACTTTTTGACTTTTTTTTAAAAAATTGGTGCTAGTTTTTATAATTATCAGACGACAATAACCAGCCATAAAGTTTTTATATCTGTTGAATAAGTACTTAAAATATAGAGCTCTAAAAAAGTTCGAATGTGCCCCATTCCTATAGCATTTTTGGAGGAATATTGACATGGAATCGGAAGAAATTAAATATGTGATATACATGCCATTCTGAAATCTATGCAAAATTCCATGTTAGAATACTTGGTGCATTGTATGAAATAGAAAAAAATTATGTATATTATGAGAGCTAATGTAAATCTGCACCGCTTTCAAGCACATTTAGCATACGCTACACGGTGGAAAAAAATACCGATCTAGCGCGCAGAAAATAAAAAATGAACCTGAAGGAAACTTTAAAACATTAATGCAGTTTTAAAGTAGAGTGTACTTAAGTGCGTATAAAATAATCCGAATTAATAAGTTAGAACGAAATAACGGTACATTTAAAATTTATATTTTTCCAATGTTAAAAATGGTATTTTTTAGCTATAAAATTGCGATGGTCGTGTGCATTCTGTAAGCCATATCTATATTATTATAAAATTTTGTCCATTTTATATAACCCATAAGTTATTTTAATTTAGGTTAGGTGTAATTTAGGCCCGTTTTTTTTAATTCCTTCAATTAAAATAGGGGTTTCATATGGAGTGCAGACGACTTCAGCGTTGATTTTTTTGTCTGTCTAGAACATCATACTAAATTTTTTCCTGCGACTCTCGAATTCATGGAAATTTTTTGAAAAAATGCCATTTTGGTGTAAGAAGCTTTTTTAAGTTTATTATTTGAACAATAAAATTAAAAATTTGTGAATTTTCTTGATATAATTGATCAAATATGACTTGGAATAGATCACAGCATAACAGAAAAGAAAAGAAAAAACAAGTTCAAAATATGAAAATGAGGGTATGTAAGTAAGCTGCTCCAAACAGTGATTTTAAACTCATGCACTGAATGTACATTTATTCCAAATGTCTTTCTAAATAAAAATTGAAATTACAACGAAATCGGTTGTAAGAGTCTTCTCAAATACCGCAGGTAAAGGGTATACTTTATGCGCAAAATGCAGAAATGCAAATATTTATCCACCATACAATGTGTTAGGAGAAGCGAAGAAAATATGCTATCCTAAAGAATTTGTCAAAAAGGTAACTGCTGTATCTGCTGAAGTTAGTTTGCAGGCCTTGGCTGATCATACAATATCAAGAATCGTTGAGGAACAAAGAGAGGTTATTTCGAAGGCAATAGAAAAAACATCACTAAGGACATTTACTATGATCTACAAATGGGGTTGTGATGGCAGTTCGGGTCACTCTACTTACAAACAACAAATTCCTGGCAATACAACGGATGAATATTTGTTTACAGTATGTTTAATCCCCTTACAACTAAAAGTGGATAACATAATAGCTTGGCAAAATCCGCGTCCTTCATCTACTCGCTTTTGTCGTCCAAGTAAACTCTGTTTTAAGAAGGAGACCACGTCCTTAATCCAAACAGAAGTGAATCATATATTCTAAATACAAAAATAGACGATAGCTATGTCTGGATCGTCAAGCACACACAAAATATTAGTGCTGATATAATTAAATGTGCAGCTTTACCCATAGGAATGTTGTCGGAAGAAGCCATGGAATCCATGGAAATAAGGACTTTCGGAACTACAGGGAACAGTACACCAGAAAAATGAGTCGTGAGGAAACAATGAGGGGTCTTTTCAATAGGTTGCTATTTTCTTCTGATTCAAAAATATCATGTTTGTATCGTAGTACATCTCTTAACCATCGATATAGTGAGCCACTATCTGAAGAAGTCCTTAAACTACTGGAGGATCCAATGCTACCAACTAATTCAAATCTCGGATACTGAATCCGGAATTTTTAAAAGAAGCTCCCATTTTAGGAGTACTATTAGTTATAACGAAAAATGTTGCTTATTAAAAAATGTTTAAAAAGCTTCAAAATAGTAATTTTCAACTAAAAATTAGAGTTTTTTCTAAAAAAAAATCGGCGCATAGTGGATTAATAAAAAATATTTTTTTTCATAAAATAATTAAAATTGTCCATCTAAATCTATTCTTATCCAAAATATCGATAAACATACAGTAAAACATCTATTGTGCGCTATCCGGTATGCTACAGCAAAGCGCGCAGTCCAATAATTCATCTGAATCCAAGAAAATTTGGGTATTTAATGCACATTTTCATGAAATCAGACGAAAATATATATGATACCTTATTCTTAATCTGAATCAAATTAAGTTTCCGGTTTCAAAAAAAAATAATAATAAATAAATTTGGTGATTTTTATCAAGATTTTCCCTTTAAAATTTCAGGTGGAAAACTCAACAACTATTGAAAATGAAGCCGATTTACTGTGTCAACATCAAGAGACTGCTTCTTAAACTTTCGAAGAGACTTTCTCAACAAAACTTAACAACAATTATGCGGACATTTTCGGACAAACGTAGGGTCTTTGTGACAAAATTTATATAAAATTGTTTCAAGATTTTAACCAATATCAATGGGGTTCATTCTTAGGCCAAATAAATGAGATAAATTTTATAGCATTCCGACTATAAATCTATTCTTTCACTAAATTAGATCAAAGCAGTTGGGCCAATATATACACAGATTGAGTAATTTATTTTGGAACTGATTTAAGTCCATTTTTTTCTATATTGAAATATTTAAAGGTTTGTATCAAGAATATTTTTAAGTAATATAATTTTTTTTTTCAAAATTATTGTGTCACACCACACGCAACGATACAACATTTAATCTCTTATTAGGGATATAAATATTATTATTCTTTATTTCATGTTTCTTAATTGTTCACACATTTTTGCTACACCTTGACGTATTGTTTTGCCCGATGGAGTTCGCGGAAAATCTTCAAAAAAGTAAACTCCTCCACGTAACTGTTCGAAATGCTCCAAATGTTCAGAGGCATAATTGTGGATTTGCAGCTCACTTATATTATTTTTAAAACTTTTTATAATTGCAGCAGCCGGTAAAAATCCCATACAATTATCTGGTATACCCACCACGCATACATCCGCGACACCCGGCATTTCGCTGAGTACTCGTTCTATGGACGAGGGAGTGTAATGGAAATTATTATACTTCAAAATATCCTTTTTACGATCGACAATATACAGTTGCATGTCGCAGTTGAAGTATCCCATGTCACCGCTGTGTATCCACAAATCGGAATCATAAATAGCTTTGGTTGCCTCCGGATTGTTGTAATACCCCGACCAGGGATATTTTGTACGAATACATATTTCGCCGATTTCGTTGGGACCCACGGCTTTGCCATGTTCGTTGATAATTTTCACTTCAACATTTGTTTTTAATTTACCCACTGAACTGGTCGTTTCAACTTCACCCCAGGACACAACCATACACACTTCACTCATGCCATAGCCAACCTTAAATGTGGCATTTGGGGTATATTTCTTGAAATTTGCAATCACCGAATAATCTACTCTACTACCACCAACGCTATAGTCCACAATGCTGGATAGATCAGCTTCTGGTAATTTTGGCGAAGTCAGACACAATGCCACATGGGAAGGAGGACCAAATACCACATCCACCTTATAATGTTCCACAATTTTAAAGAAATCTTCAGGATTAAATGGATTTTCGGATATAATTTGTGTTGTTCCTGTCAATATGGAGCGTAGAATACTTATAACACCCGATAGCCAATATAAACTGCTAAAGCATAGCAAATTTTTGGAGGGATCATCATCTACACTGAAATTAATAAAAAATAATTAAATTATAAAAAAATTAAATATTTAAAAATCACATATTTACAAATTCTCTCCCAAAGCCAATAGAGCTGCATGTGACATAGTCACACCCTTGGGTAAGCCAGTACTTCCAGAGGAACAAAGTATGGCAGCAACTTGATTTGGACCCTCCTGCAATTGTGAAACTCCATACAAAGAAGGATTAACTTCAGCATCACTTGTAAGTAATTCTTCTATTCGTGGAACACCCTCAACCCGTGTTCTTATGGTATATATGACCGTTGTTTCAAGTCCACATTCATCGAGAGCTTGCCTAACTTTGGCATAAATTTCACCATCACAAAACATCAACTTGGGCTTGGTTATCGAATAGATATGTTTAATGCCATTAATTCCAAAACTAGGATCCAGGGTGCTTACGATTAAGCCAGCAATTAAAGTTCCCAAAAAGAAGGGAGTAATGTAATCACTATTTCCCGCACATAAACCGATAACTGTACCTTGGGGTATTTTCATATTTTGAAAATATTTGCATATTTGTATTGAAATCGTGGCAATTTGACGATTCGTTAACTCGACACCACTTTGATAGCAAATCTGTTTAAAATGTGATGAATTTTTTTTATGAGAAGCATAAAAGAATATTTTTTGAATTTACCTGAGCTATGTGATCTGGATTTCTAAGTAAGTATTTCAGCAGTATGGAACCAAGCGAGTCTTTCGGACCGAAGCGGCTTGGCTTTATGGGACCCCTCCAAATTTTAAAATTTTCATCAAAAGACATGTTGTTTTCACGATGTGAAGAGATTCTCAACTGATTTGTATTGAGGTTTTTGCTACCATCAAATGGCGTTGATAGGATCTGCACAACACTAGCCTACAATCATTTTTATGAACCAAACATGAATTGTTTAAAATTGATTACAAACAGCGTACAAACTTGTTCCAATTTTAGGAATACTAACGATAAATTTGTGATCGCGATATCAGTTTGTGGTCTATAGTGCCAGACACGATATTTTATATAAATCGTTTATCATAACTCATTTCTTTGGCACATAATTCCAATAAGAACCAGTAAGGAAAGTAGTAAAGTTGGACGGGGCCGACTATATGATACCCTTCACCACTTTGGCTATATTCAACAGATGAATCCTAACAGACGTCGCATTTTTAAAGGACCAGTAAAATTAAATTGGACTTTGGTTCACCATTTATATAAAATCGGAGAAAATATATATGGGAACTATATCTAAATCTGAACCGATTTTTAAGAAACTTAACACACATCATTCTAGACCTAATTCATCGCGCTGTGCTAAATTTCGTGTAAATCGAAATTATGTATTTGTGCATATACTTGTAACAGGCAAAAGGAAATAAGATAGACACATGGTTCCTTTTGAGAATATTCATAGAATCACTTTCTAAGTCGATTTATGCATGTCTGTCCGTCTGTCTGTTCATGTTAAATTGCAAACAAAGTGCAGGTCGCATTTATGATCCGATTTGGATGAAATTTGGCACAACTTACTTATTTGACCCAAGGACGAACCCTATTGAAATTGGGAAAAATCGGCTCGGATTTAAACATAGCTTTCACATATATTTTCGTCCGATTTTAGGTAAATAGTGCACCAAAGTCCTTATATATATATATATATATATCGATTTGCACGAAATTTGGCATAGCGTACTAAATTGAAACTAGAATGGTGTGTGTAAAATTTCTTGAAAATCGGTTCAAATTTAGATAAGGCTCATATATATATATATATATATATATTCGTCCTATTTAATATAAATGGTGCACCAAAGACCCTATGTATACTTCGCTTTGCATGAAGTTTTGCATAGCGTACTGAATTAGGTCTAGAATAGTGAGTGCTAAATTTTCAGAAAATCGGTTCAGATTTAGAAATAGCTCCCATATATATATTTGTCCGATTTAAGGTAAATGGTGCACCAAAGACCCTATATATCTTTCGGTTTTCACGAAATTTGGATTATTAATTTGAATTAAGTCTAGAACGAGGTGTCTTAAATTTCATGAAAATCTGTTCAGATTTAGATATAGCTCCCATATATATTTTCGTCGTGGGGGGACAAACTTGAGTATTTTTTTGCTACTGGCTCTTCTGGATGTTTCCATTGGGCTTTGATCAGAATAAAATTCTATGTCGAATTATGCGTGTGCGTTTGTCCGTCTGTTGAAATCACTATAGAGATCAAAACATTTAAGATAGAGCTCTGAAATTTTGTACAGACATTATTAGTACTCCTAGGATGTTTGATATTGCAAATGAGATATGATATACTTTTTCAACCGAATTGGTTCTAATTTGGTATTTTGTTTTCTCATTGGATGTCAAATCTCACTTCCAAAAATTATTAATATTGACCAAAGTTTCAGGGTAGCCGATATAACGCTACTCCCCCATACTTGGTATTTTGGGGGTTTTTGTCAAATTTCGTACAAATCCAAGGATATAAAGGAACTTTGGTACACTATTTACCTAAAATCGAACGAAAATATATATGGGAGCTATATCTAAATCTGAACCGATTTTCAGAAAACTTAACACACATCATTCTAGACCTAATTCTTTACGCTATGCCAAATTTCCTGAAAATCGAAAGATATATAGGTAGTTTGGAGCACCATTTACCATAAATCGAATAAAAATATATGTGGGAGCTATATCTAAATCTGAACCAATTTCAATAGAGTTCGTCCTTGGGCCAAATAAGTGAGCTGTGCCAAATTTCATCCAAATCGGATCATAAATGCGACCTGCACTTCGTTTACAATTTAACATGGGCAGACATCCATAAATCGACTTAGAAAGTGATTCTATGTATATTTTCAAAAGAAAGCATGTGTCTATCTCGTTTCCATTTGCCTGTTACAAACATATGCACAAATATATAATGCCCTGTGCCGTCCGTCCATGTATTTTTGTGAACAAAAATTTTTGGTCCGATTTGGATGAATTTTGGTACATCTCACTTATTTGGCCCAAGGACGAACCATATTTAGATTTAGATATAGCTCCCATATATATTTTCGTCCTATTTAAGATAATTGGTGAACCCAAGTGCACAGCGTACTGAATTTGGTCTGCATATTCTCTATGGAAACCATGTGTCTATCTCGTTTCCTTTTTCCTGTTACAAACGTATGCACAAAGACATAATACCTGTACCCTGTACCGTCCGTCCGTACATGTATTTTTGTGAACAAAGTGCAGGTCGCATTTATGATTCGATTTGGATGAATTTTGGTACATGTCACTTATTTGGCCCAAGGACGAACCCTATTTAAATTGCAGGAAATCGGTTCAGATTTAGATATAGCTCTGCAGTCATGTCCGCCAAGTTTCGTAGATCGTTTCAGATTTAGATATAGTTCCCATATATATTTTCGTCCCATATTATGTAAATGGTGCACCAAATACTCTTTATTTCTTTCGATTTGCTCGAAATTTTACACAGCGTACTGAATTGGGTCTGGAATGATGTGAGCTAAATTTTGTGATAATCGGTTCAGATTAATATATATATATATATATATTCGTCCCATTTTATGTAAATGGCGCCTCGAAGCCTCTGCAATAGAAATAGTTCCCATATATATTTTCGTCCGATTTTATGTAAATGGTGCACCAAAGCCCCTACATTTCTTTCGATTTACACAAAATTTAGCTCAACGTACTGAAATGGGTCTGGAAGGATGTGAGCTAAGTTTTGTGATAATCGTTTCAGATATATAGCTTCCATATATATTTTCGTTCGATTTTATGTAAATGGTGCACCCATGTATAAACTAACCTGTATCAAGTTTCGTTGAAATCGGTTGATTTTAAGTAAATAAAATAACGTAGTAGCATTTTGTAGAAATACAGACATAGCCCAACGGATGAATGGATCTAAGTCGGTTCACATTTAGATAAAGATCACATATATTAGCTCATCCAATTTCATGTTAAAATGCGACGTCTTTTAGAATTAATTTGTTTAATATACTCATAGTGGTCATATAGGCGGCTCCGTCCTACTTTGCTACTTTCTTTAGGACGATAAAGAGAATCCCTGTAGATCTGTGTAATTATTCAGATAACAAAAATAAATATTGCCTATTTAAAATTGCATAGTCATTTGGAGCGCTGCATTACAATAAAAAAGAAAAGAAGGAATGCACTGACATTAAATTATTCACCTATGAATATTGAACAAAAATCAACAAAAAATGAATTTTTAAATCTTATGATACACACAAAAAAATTGAAATTTCGTATAAACATATAAAATATAAGCATATCCATACAAACATTTTGATGTTATTAAAAAACGTCTGTACAACTATAACACAAATCTATATAAGTATGCATATATAACATTCAATGCTAGACTTTATGGTATCTCCTATGATTCACTGTCCGGAGATACAAATAAAACAATTTTTATTTTTGCTGATAAGAAAACGTTCAATGAACGCAGCTTTTATCGATAAATGACAACACTGGGTTGTTGCTGTTGTGATTGTACGACATTTTAAGTCCGTATATGTTGAATTAAATATGTTATTAAAATTTTGAAACGTTTTTAAGTCAATTTCTAAATTATTGGAACGTACATCAGATTTGGCTATTTTAATTTGAATTTCATGCCATATAAATTCAAAAAATACCTCTTGCATATATCTAAAGTAGTGGTCCTATCTGTCTTTAACCCCATCTGCGATTTCCTTGAGATTTTCAAATAACAACTGTTGTTTACGTTCATTTATTATCGAACTAATTAGGAAAGATACAAACGGGAAGTAATTGATATCTCCATTGAAAATGACATTACATCTGACTCCTTAATTACAGGAGAATACCGTACGTCATTTATCATATCTCCTATTTGTGGAGTTATAAAAGAGGAACAAATAGCAAAGCCCCTAATTAGACCACCTATGTTTGTAAATCTCCCTCTCTAGTCGAATGATCGACCAATCCCTGTTAATTGCAAGAATTGCAATAGTCAATGACTTTTGGTGTAATTATCAATTACTGTTCCATCATAAATTACAACTCGATTGCCACTACTTGGGTAGCTAAAGGATGTGTGGCATATAAATAAGACATTTTCTATCTATCAGTATGAAAAAATGAGGAAAAGGGAAAAAGGAAGCTAAAAACCTTTTTTTCAATTCATGAAGATGCCCAAGGATGTTGTTGCTTCGTGTAATTAGAGTCGGCTAGACTCGAGCGTAACGAATTTTCAAATAGAGTTGTGATGTTGTTGTTTTGGTGGCTTACTGATATCCTGCAAAGACAGTAGCTAATTGACCTGTATAAATTAGTTGACCTGAATCAGTGCGGATGTTGTTGTTGCAAAATATTCATTTTTAGGTGTACTCCAATAAAATTCCTTTTAGAACATGCAAAGGATTGTACGAGGATAGATTGATTCAACAATACATATGTTGTAGATGTACAATGCACTGATTTATGTAGATTTAAATGATGCACATGCACATTGCTGCTAAATTACAGTATCGGCCCAAACCTATTTAAATTTTAGTACATTTTTTCAACGACGTTTTTTTATGGAAACAAAATTATAGATTTTTGTGTTCTTTTTATTTATTATTTTTTATTTTTTATTCAAAGCCTTGTGCAATGCAATATTTTAGTCCACAGCGTTGTGATAGTTACCACACGTTGCTGTTGCTAGAGGAAAAATAGATGAGATAGTGGACATTATGAATCGGAAGAATAACTGGATCGCGACGCG